AAGAAGAAATCAAAGGCAAGGATTTGCTCAAAACAGAAATAAGCAATATATCTGAAAACTAATTTATGACCGCAGTCATAAGAATACTATCTGGGCTTGAAAAAAGCACAGAAGATTCCAGAGGAACCCCATTGCAGAGGTCAAAGACCTAAAAACCAGTCAGGTGAAATAAAACTTGCTATAACTAAGATGAAAAACCAATTGGATACAATCCAATGAGGATAGAAGAAGCAGAAGAGAGACTAGGTGATATAGAAGGTAAAATTATGGAAGATAATGAAGCTAAAAAGAAGAGGGAAATAAGACTTTCATTTATTAGAGCATGAGAGGAGAATTGGGGAACTCAGTGATTACATGAAATGAAACAATATTTGTATCATAGGAGCTCCATAAGCAGAAAAGCAAGAAAAGATTGCAGAAGGTTTACTTGAACAAATTATAGCTGGGGACTTCTCTAATCTGGGGAAGAAAACAGGCATTCAGTTCCAAGAGACACAGATAACTCCCCTCAAATGAACAAAAACAGGTCAACACCAAGACTTATAGTGAAGTTTGTAAAATACAAAGAAGAAGAGAAAATCCTGAAAGCACCTAGGGACAAACTGTCCTTAACCAACAAGGGTAGACACATAAGGTTAGCAGCAGATATGTCTACTGAAACTTGGCAGCCCAGAAGGGAGTGGCAGGAAATATTCAATGTGCTGAATGGGAAACATGCAGCTAAGAATAATTTATCCAGCAAGGCTGTCATTCAGAATAGAAGGAGAGATAAAGAGTTTCCCAAACAAACAAAAATTAAAGGAGTTCTTGACCACTAAACCAGCCCTGCAAGAAATATTAAGGGGGCTATTTGAGTGGATGGGGGGGAAAAGATCAAAGCAACAAAGATTACAAAGGATCAGAGAACATCACCAGAATCACCAACTCTACAGGTAATATGATGACATGAAATTCATATCTTTCAATTATGACTTTGAATGTAAATGGACTAAATGCTCCAATCAAAAGACACGGGGTAGCAGAATGAGTAAATAAATAATATCTATCTATATGTTGCCTACAAGAGACTCATTTCAGACCTGAAGACATGCAGATTGAAAGTGAGGGGATGGAGAACTATGTTATGTAATGGACATCAAAAGAAAGGTGGAGTAGTTATATGAAGCAAACTAGATTTTAAAACAAAGACTGTAACAAGAGATGAATGAGGGAATTATAATTAAGGGGTCTATCCACCAAGAAGATCAAAGAAAAGTAAATGTTTACACCCCCAAATTAGGAGTACCCAAATATATAATAACAAACATAAAGGGATTTAACACCCCAGTTGCAACAATGGACAGATCACCTGAGCAGAAAATCAACAAGGAAACTATGGCTTTGAATGACACGCTGCATCAGACAGACTTAACAGATATATTCAGAACTCTACCTCCTAAAGCAGTAGAATACACATTCTTCTCGAGTACACATGGAACATTTTCTAGAATGTTCTCCATATTGGGTCACGAATCAGCCCTCAACAGGCACAAAGAGATCAGGATCATACGAGGCATATTTTCATATCACAACACTATGAAACTTGAAGTCAACCACAAGAAAAAAATTGGAAAGCCCAAAAATACATGAAGGTTAAGGAATATTCTAATAAAAAATGAATTGGATAACAGGAAATTAAAGAAAAAGTTAAAAAAAGTACATAGAAACAAATGAAAGAGAAAACACGACAGTCCAAACCCTTTGGGATGCAGCAAAGGCAGTCCTAAAAGGAAAGTATATTGCAATTCAGGCCTATCTCAAGAAGCAGTAGAGATCCCAAATACACAATCTAATCAGACACCTAAAGGAGCTAGAAAAGGAAGGCCAAATAAAGCTAAAGTCAGCAGAAGAGTAAAATAATAAAAATTAGAGCAGAAATGTGATATAGAAGCAACAACGACAGCAACGACAAAACGCAGAACAGATCAATGAAACTAAGAGCTGGTTTATTGAAAGAAGAAAATTGATAAATACTTAGCCACATTATCAGAGAGAGAGAAAGAGAGAGAGAAAAGGGACCCAAACAGATAAAATCACAAATCAAAGAGGAAAGATTACAACCAACACTACAGAAATACAAACAATTATAAGAAAATACTATGAAAATTTTATGCCCACAAACTGCAATCTGGAAGAAATGGACAAATTCCTAGAAACGTACAAACCACCAAAACTGAAACAGGAAGAAATAGAAAATTTGAACAGACCCATAACAAGCAAAGAGATTGAATCAGTAATCAAAAATCTCCAGACAACAACAACAAAAAAATTTCCGAACAAACAAAGAGTCCTGGGTCAGATGACCTCCCAGGGGAATTCTACCAGAATAGTTATTACCTATTTTTTCAAACTGTTAAGAAAACTGAAATGGAAGAAAAGCTTCCAAACCATTCTATGAAGCCAGAATTACCTTGATTCTAAAACCAGAGACCCTAATAAAAAGAATTAGAGACCAATATCCCTGATGAACCTGGATGCAGAAATTCTCAATGAGATACTAGCAAATCATATTCAACAACATCTTGAAAAATTATTCACCATAATCAAGCAGTACTTATTCCTGGGCTGCAGGGCTCATTCAATATTCACAAATCAAGCAACATGATGCACTACATTAATAAAAGAAGGACAAGAAACATATGATCTTGTCAATATGCAGAAAAAGCATTTGACAAAATACAGAATCCACTATTGATAAAACCCTTAACAGAGTAGGGGAGAATGGAGCATAACATCATAAAGGTCGTATATGAAAGACCCACAACTAATATTATCCTCAGTGGAGAAAACCGGAGAGACTGTCCCCTATGTTCCGGAACAAGAAAAAGTTGCCCACTCTCACCATTACTATTTTATATAGAATTAGTAGTCTTAGCCCCAGCAGACTAATACTAATTCTAATTACATTAGTAATTAGAATACATTACTAATACATTAATTCAACAAAGACTCAAGATGTGCAGAAATATGTTGCATTTCTATATACCAATAATGAACCAGAGAAGAAATCAAGGAATCAATCTCATATATAATTGCACCAAAAATGATAAGGTACCTAGAAATAAACATAACTAAAGAGGTAAAAGAGCTGTACTTTGAAAACTATAGAAAACTTGTGAAAGAAACTGAAGAGGACACAAAGAAATGGAAAAGCATTGCATGGATTGGAAGAACAAATATTATTAAAATGTATATCCTGCCCAAAGGAATCCATAATTTAATGCAATCTCTATCAAAATAACACCACTATCCTTCACAGAGCTAGAAAAAAAAACCCCAAAATTTTATGGAACCATAAAATATCCCAAATAGCCAAAGCAATCTTGATAAAGATTAACAAAACTAGAGGCATCATGATTCTGGATTTCAAGCTATATTACAAAGCTGTAATCATCAAGACAGTATGGTACTGGCAAAAATAGGCACATAGAATGGAATAGAAAACTCAGAAATAGACCCACAACTATATGGTCAACTAATCTTCAAAAAAGCAGGAAAGAATATCCAATGGAAAAAAAGACAGTATCTTTAATAAACAGTGTTGGGAAAACTAGAAAGCAACATGCAAAAGAATGAAACTGGACCAATTTCTTAAACCAACACAAAAATAAATGCTAAATGAATGAAAGACCTGAATGTGAGACCCTCAAAATCATAGAGGAGAACACTGGCAATAACCTCTGACCTCATCTGGAGCAACCTCTTTCTAGACTGGTCAGCCAAAGCAACGGAAATGAAAGCAATCATGAACTACTAGAACTTCATCAAGATAAAAATCTTCTGCACAGTAAAGGAAACAGTCAAAAAACTGAAAGGCAACCAACAGAATGGGAGAAGAAATTTGCAAATGACATATCAGATAAAGGGTTAGTACCCAAAATCTATAAGGAACTCACCAAACTCCACACCCAAGAAACAAATAATCCAGTGAAGAAATGGGCAGAAGACATGAACAGACACGTCTCCAAAGAGGACATCCAGATGGCCAACAGACACATGAAACGATGCTCAGCATCCCTCCTCATCAGGGAAATACAAATCAAAACCACGCTGAGATGCCACCTCATGCCAGTCAGAGTGGCTAAAATGAACAAATCAGGAGACTCTAGATGCTGGTGAGGATGTGGAGAAACGGGCACCCTCCTACACTGTTAGTGGGAATGTAAACTGGTGCATACCGCCTGGAAAACAGTATTGAGGTTCCTCATAAAATTATGAGTAGAACTCCCCTATGACCCAGCAGTAGCACTGCTAGGAATTTACCCAAGGGATACAGGAGTGCTGATGCATAGGGGCACATGTACCCCAATGTTCATAGCAGCATTGTCAACAATAGCCAAAACAATGAAAAAAACCTGAGTGTCCATCAACTGATGAATGGATCAAGAAGATTTGATATATTTATACAATGGAATACTACATGGCAATGAAAAAGAATGAAATCTGACCATTTGTAGCAACGTGGATGGAACTTGAAGTAATGCTGAGCGAAATAAGTCAGGCAGAGAAGGATAGATCCCATATGTTTGCACATATAGGTGGATTAGGAGGAAGCTAACAGAGGACCATGGGGGAGAAGAAGGGGAAAATTAGTTGGGGAGAGGGAGGGAGGCAAACCATGAGACTCTTGAATGCTGAGAACAAACTGAGGGCTGGTGGGGGTGGGGGAGAGGGGAAGGATGGTGATGGGCATGGAGGAGGGTACTTGTTGGGATGAGCACTGGTTGTTATATGGGAACAAACTTGACAATAAACTATTTAAGAAAAAAAGAATATCTAGGACATAATGAAACTGTTTAAGTATCCATTAAAATTTTTCTTATTTTCATGTCAGATCTAACATTAGGACAATTTATTTATAGCTATAAAAATGAGAGAAATTGCTACTTTACTCTGGTTATGGAGTTTTCATAGTAGATCTGTTTTTCTATTTAGTGAACTAAATGCATCTCTTTATTTAGCTCACTTTGGAATGCCAGATGAAAATCTAATGCTTGTGAATCAAGATTCAGTGCCAAGACCCCAAGAGCAAGTAGAGAAACAAACAACCTTCAGACAGGAAAGGCACCATTGTAAGTATAATACTTATGGATAAGTTTAAATTATTTTAAGCCCATCAGAAGATTGTTTTCTTTGGTTCAGGAGTACACGTTTGAGCATATATTTTATAGAAATTTTATATTCTGTCCTAAATTATGAATATGCAAAGATAATTAGAAAATAATGCAAAAGTATTAATACCTTCAGCTTGGAATTTTGAACCATAAAATTATTTCACTGGCATAGGACATGCATTCAGTATCCCCCAAGGCACAATAACTGTCCAGTAATAATTCAAAGTATCTTTCAGCTGAATCTGTGACATTACAGCTTCTCGGAGATTAGGACAGTTGTTCATTCTGACCAGTGTCATTCTGGTCAGAGGGTCCAATTGAGAAAAGTGAGAGGTTTAATTGGGCCACACTATTTGTCATCATTTGTCACTGAGAGAGAGCTGCTAGCTATGAAGTGGGTTAATTCAGACAATAAACTAATTTGAAGGTAACAATTAAACCTTTATCCACTTGCTGTGATAGTATAAGCAAGAGTCTAAATATAATAGGTCACTAGCCCACCAGTATTTCAACCAATGTTTCATTTTCCCACAAAATGACATCAGACAAGCATCAGATGTATCAGTGCAGATGGGTAAAGAATGTCTACTGTGTCTTACACATACATACACACATACATACATACATATACATATGTACAATTATCTGCCATTGTAGTAATACTCATATTATACCAGTTCTGTAGTTGAGATATATGTGTCAATTTATTTTACCAATCTCCTATGCTTTACCATTTAGATGGTTTTAAGTAGTTTGGAATTATAAACAAGGCTGTAATGAATAATCTTGTGCATTTGAGTTTTTATTACTTTTTTGTGTGTATTAGCCTAAATATAAATCACCCATGAAACCTGAAGACCAACAGAAAATATATTTGTTACTTAGGCTTATTTATGAAATAATGAGACAGTTTTGAAATCACTTATTTTCATAACAGTTCTAGCATTATAATAATTCACTTATGACTTTATAAAAATGATAGAAAATGCTACTGTACATTTGTTATAAATTTGAAATCTAGGGATTTCACAGTAGATCTGTTTTTCCATTTCATGGACTAAATCTATCTCTTTATATAGCTCATTTTGGCATACCAGATGTAAATCTTCTGTTTGTGAATCAAGATTCAGGAGCAAAATCCCAAGTGCAAGTAAAGAAACAAATAACTTACAGAGAGGAAAGACGCAGAAGTAAGTATAGTAATTATAGGAAACTTTAAATTATTTTAAATTAAACTCATCAGAAGATTTCACAAATCTGTTTTTTGAGGATATATTTTACAGAAAGCTTAAAGATCTTAGTCAGATCTAACGTGTGAAAATCCTGGGGCACCTGGGTAGCTCAGTCAGTTGTGTCAGCTCAGGTCATGATCTCACGGTTTGTCTGAGCCCCGCATCATACTCTGTGCTGACAGTTCAGAGCCTGGAGCCTGTTTCAGATTCTGCGTCTCCCTTTGTCTCTCTCTGCCCATCTCCCAGCCTGTGCTCACTCTCTCTCTCAAAAATAAATAATATTAGAAAAATAAATAAAATGTATATATCCCAAGATAGAGACAAAAGCATAATTAATAATAACATTTGGTTGGTATTGGCATGGTCAGTAATTATTAAGTAAATGGCTTCCACACACACTAATGAAAATTATTCACATGAGTTTTTCTCCCATGGGAAGCAATTTGATGATTTTTTGGCATATCCAGACATTTCATAAGTTTATGGCTTTTTTTTCCTTAGCATTTCCTCTTGAAAAGCAAAAAAGTAATATCGTGTCACAGGAAAATCAATTTTCTGAGAAGAAAGTTTCATTTATAAGAAACAAAGTTCAACTTAAGAAACTTGAAGCTACTAGAAATATGAAACTTGATAGTAAGTAATTAAATATAAATCTTATGAATTATTTTTAATTAAATTCAGGAGAACACTATTTTGGATTAATGAATATATCTTCAACCATATGCTCTTTGATAATTATTCCCATCGCACATTAGATCTTTATTGATAATTTACCTGTTTGTTTTATAATTACTGAATTAGATGTGTTAAATCTGACTTTGGGATTTCTTTATTTTTCTTGTAGTTGTGGCACCTTATGATTTATATCTTATGATATTGTGGTACATAACATTAAGATTGATATTATCCTTTCAGAAAAGAACATCTTAATGAAGAGATATATTTTATCATTTTTATAGTTTTTATTTATTTTCCCTAAAACTACTTTACTATTAATGTAGCTCCACAAAATTCTGGTTGGTATTTGCATCATATATATTTTTTTTCTATCCTGTTGTTTGTATCTTTGTGATTTTGTTGTATCTCTTGCAAGAAAATTTAAGTGTATACATTTTAAAATTCAACTTGATCTTTGTCTTTTAATTAGTTCTTAATCATATATAATCTAGTTATTTCTACTTTTAATTAGCCCATTTTCTTGGTATTTTCTATTTTTCTTTCACTTTCTCACTCCCTGTATTTTTTAAATCTTATATATGTTTTTCCTTAGCCATATCTGATTCAAAAATTTTAAACTTTATTATAGTTTATTGTCAAGTTGGCTTCCCTATAACACCCAATGCTCATCCCAACAAGTGCCTGCCTCCATGCCCATCATCCATTTTCCCCTCTCCCCCAGCCCCCATCAACCCTCAGTTTGTTCCCAGTATTTAAGAATCTCTTATGGTTTTCCTTTCTCCCTCTCCTTAACTAATTTTTCCCCTTCTCCTTCCCCATGGTCCTCTGTTAAGTTTCTCCTGTTACACATATGAATGAAAACATATGGTATCTGCCTTTCTCTGAGTGATTTATTTCACTTAGCATAACACCCTTGAGTTCCATCCACATTGCTACAAATGGCCAGATTTCATTGTTTCTCATTGTCATGTAGTATTCCATTGTATAGAAAGGAATAAACCACATCTTCTTGATCAATAAACCACATCTTCTTGATCCATTTATTGGTTAATGAACATTTAGGCTCTTTCCATAATTTGGCTATTGTTGAAAGTGCTGCTATGAACATTGAGGTACATGTGCCGCCATGCATGAGTACTCCTGTGTCCCTTGGGTAATTTCCTAGCAGTGCTATTGCTGGGTCACAGAGGAGTTCTATTGTTATTTTTTTGAGGAGCATTCATACTCTTTTCCAGAGGAGCTGCACCAGTTTACATTCCCACCAACAGTGTAGGAGGGTGCCCATGTCTCCACATCCTCACCAGCATCTAGAGTCTCCTGATTTGTTCATTTTAGCCACTCTGACTGGCATGAGGTAGTATCAGTGTGCTTTTGATTTGTATTTCCCTGATGACAAGTGACATTGAGCATCATTTCATGTGTCTGTTGGCCATCTAGTTGTCCTCTTTGGAGAAGTGTCTGTTCATGTCTTCTGCCCATTTCTTCACTGGATTATTATTTTTTCGGGTGTGGAGTTTGGTGAGTTCCTTATAGATTTTGGGTACTAGCCGTTTATCTGATATGTTATTTGCAGCTATCTTTTCCCATCCTGTCAGTTCCTATTAGTTTTATTGATTGTTTCCTTTTCAGGGCAGAAGCTTATTATCTTGATGAGGTCCCAACAGTTCATTTTTGCTTTTTGATTTCCTTGCCTTTGGAGATGTGTCGAGTAAAAACTTGCTGTGGCTGAGGTCAAGGAGGTTGTTTCCTGCTTTCTCTTCTAGGGTTTTGATGTGAAAGACACATTCAGGTCTTTCATCCATTTTGAGTTTATTTTTGTGTATGGTGTAAGAAAATGATCTACTTTCATTCTTCTGCATGTTGCTGTCCCGTTTTCCCAGAACCATCTGTTAAAGAGGCTGTCTTTTTTCCACTGTATACTCTTTCCCACTTTGTCAAAGATTAGTTGGCCATACATTTGTGGGTCCAATTCTGAGTTCTCTTTTCTATTCCATTGGTTTATGTGTTTGTTTTTGTGCCAATATCGTACTGTCTTGATGATGACAGCTTTGTAGTAGAGGCTAAAGTCTGGGATGGTGATGTCTCTCATTTTGGTTTTCTTCTTCAATATTACTTTGGCTATTCGGGGTCTTTTGTGTTCCATACAAAATTTAGGATTGTTTTATATAGCTTTGAGAAGAATGCTGGTGCGATTTTGATTGGGATTGCAATGAATGTGTAGATTACTTTGGGTAGCATTGACATTTTAACAGTATTTATTCTTCTGATCCATGAGCATGGAATATTTTTCCATTTCTTTGTGTCTTTTTCAGTTTCCTTCATAAGTTTTCTATAGTTTTCATCATGCAGATCTTTTAAACCTTTGGTTAGGTTTATTCCTCGGTATTTTATGGGTTGTTGTTTTTTTTTTGCAATTGTGAAAAGGATCAGTTTCTTGATTTATCCTTCTATTGCTTCATTATTCGTGAATAGAAATGCAATCAATTTCTGTACGTTGACTTTGTACCCTCGACTTTGCTGAATTCATGGGTCAGTTCAGGCAGACTTTTGGTGGAGTCTGTCGGGCTTTCCATAGAGTATCATGTTGTCTGAGAAAAGTGAAAGTTTGACTTCCTCTTTTGTAATTCTGACGCAATTATTTTATCTTGTTATCTGATTGCTAATGCTAGGACTTCCAAAACTCTGTTAAACAACAGTTGTGAGAGTGGACATCCCTGTCATGATCCTGATCTCAGGGGAAAAGCTCTCAGTTTTTCCCCATTGAGGATTATGTTAGCCGTGGCTTTTCATAAATGGTTTTTGCAATATTTAAGTAAGTTCCTTCTATCCCGACTTTCTCGAGATTTTTTAAGAAAAAAATGCTGTATTTTGTCAAACGCTTTTTCTGCATCTATCGACAGGATCATAAGGTTTTTATCTTTTGTTAATGTGATGTATCACATTCATTAATTTACAAATATTGAATCAGCCCTATAACCCAGGAATGAATCCCACTTGATCATGGTGGATAAGTTTTTTATATCATGTTGAATTTGATTTGCTAGTACTTTGAGGATATTTGCATAGATATTCATCAGGGATATTGGCCTCTAGTTGTCTTTTTTTGCTGTGTCTTTGTCAGGTTTGGGAATCAATGTAATGCTGGCTTTGTAGAATGAGTCTGGAAGTTTTCCTTCCTTTGCATTTTTTGGAACAGCTTGAAAAGAATGGATATTAACTCTGATTTAAATATCTGGTAGAATTCCCTCAGGAAGCCATCTGGTCCAGGTTTCTTATTTGTTGGGAGTTTTTTGAGAACTGATTCAGTTTCTTCACTGGTTATGGGTCTGTTCAGATTTTCTATCTCTTTCCGTGTGAATTTTGGTAGTGAGTGTGTGTTTAGGAATTTGTCCATTTTTTCTAGGTTGTCAAGGTCGTCGGCATATAATTTTTCATAATATTCCCTATAATTGCTTGTATTTCTGGAGGATTGATTGTAATAAATCCATTTTATTTCATGATTTTGTCAATTTGGGTGCTCTCTCTCTTTTTGAGATGCCAGGCTAGGAGTTTATCAGTTTTGTTTATTTTTTCAAAACATCAATTCTTGACTTCATTGATCTGTTCAACTAGTTTTGTTTTGTTTTGTTTTTTTATTCTATACTGTTTATTTCTGCCCTGATCTTTATTATTTCTCTTCTTCTCCTGGGTTTGGGGCGTTCTTGCTGCTCTGCTTCTAGTTCCTTTAGGTGCACTGTTACATTCTGTATTTGTGCTTTTTCTAGTTCTTGAGATAGGCCTGGGTTGCAATGTACTTTCCTCTTAGGACTGCCTTTGCTGCATCCCAAAGTGTTTGGATTGTTGTATTTTCATTTTAATATGTTTCCATATATTTTAAAATTTTTTTCTCTATTTGCCTGATTGACCCATTCATTCTTTAGTAGGGTGTTCTTTAGCTTCCATGCATTTCAGTTTTTCCAGATTTTTTCCTGTGATATATTTCAAGTTTCATAGCATTGTGATCTGAAAGCATACATGGTATGATCTCAATTCTTTTATATTTATCGACAGCTGCTTTGTGACCCAGTTTGTGATCTATCTTGGAGTATGTACCATGTGCACTCGAGAAGAAAGTGAATTCCAGAGCTTCAGGATGTAGAGTTCTAAGTATATCTGTCAAGTCTGTCTGTTCCAATGTGTCGTTCAGGTCCATTGTTTCTTTATTGATTTTCTATCTAGTTGATATATCCATTGCTATAAGTGGAATATGAAAGTCCCCTGCAATTAACACATTCTTATCAATAAGATTGCTTATGTTTGTGATTAATTGTTTTATGTATTTGGGTGTTCCAAGTTCGGTGCATAGACATTTATAATTGTTAGCTCTTCCTGATGGATAGATCCTGTAATTATTATATAATCTCCTTCTTCATCTCTAGTTACTCCTTTACTTTAATGTCCAGTTTCTCAGATATAAGTATGGCTACTGCAACTTTCTTTTAACTTCCAGTAGCATAATAAATATTTTCCATTCCCTCACTTTCAATCTGAAGGTGTCCTCAAGTCTAAAATGAGTCTCTTGTTGACAGGAAATAGATGGATCTTGTTCTTTTTATTCATTTTGTAACCCAATGTCTTTTGATTGGATCATTTAGTCCATTTATATTCAGTGTTATTATTGAAAAAAATGGTTTGGAGCCATTGTGTTCTCTGTAGGATTCATGCTTGTAGTGGTGTCTAGTATGTTCTGTTCCTTTGAACAATTACCTCTTAGAGTCCTCCTTAGGATCTCTTGTAGCACTGGTTTAGTGGTGATGGATTCCTTCAATGTGTTTGTTTGGGAAGACCTTTATCTCTCCTTTTATTCTGAATGATAGGCTTGCTGGGTTAAGGATTCTTGGCTGCATATTTTTCCTATTCATCACATTGAAGATTTCCTACCATTCCTTTCTGGCCTGCCAAGTTTCAGTAGATAGGTCTGCTACTACGCTTATGTGCCTACCTTTGTATTTTAAGGCCAGTTTATCCCTATCTGGTTTCAGAATTCTCTCTTTATCCTTATATTTTGCCAGTTACACTATAATATATAATGCAGAAGATCCATTCAAGTTACGTCTGAGGGAAGTTCTCTGTGCCTCTTGGATTTCAGTGTCTGTTTCCTTCCCAGAATTAGGGAAGTTCTCGGCTTTATCCTTCAGCCACTTTCTCTCTCTTCTTCTTTTGGATTTCCTATGTTATGGATATTATACCATTTGATTGCATCATTCATTTCTCAAATTCTCCTTTTGTGCTCCTGGATCAATTTATCTCTCTTTTTCTCAGCTTCCTCTTTTTCTGTAATTGTGTCTTCTAATTCACCTATTCTCCTCTCTGCCTCTTCAATTTTTGTAGTGACCACCTCTGTTTTATTACGCACCTCATTTATAACATTTGTTAATTCATCAACTATTTTTAAGATCCATGATTTGTGTAGCAATAGCATCTCTGTTGTTTTCTATGCCTTTTTCAAGCCCAGAGATTAATTTCATGACTATTATTCTAAATTCTTGGTCAGTTATATTGCTTATATCTGTTTTGATCAATTCCTTAGCTGTCACTTCTTCCTGGAATTTTTTTTTTGAGGAGAGTTCTTCCATTTTGTCATTTTGGCTAGCTCTCTGTCTCTTGTAAGTTTTAAAGGCTTGTTATATACTGTGCACTTGCGAGTACTGCGTATTAAAGGAGGTCATACACTGTCCAGATTCTGGCCATTCAGGAAGTGTTCTTTTAAGGGTTTCCCTTGGTATCTCTTATTGTGACTTTGGTTATTTTATTTCCCTACTTGTAGTAAAGTTTTGGACTCCCCACCATGTGTGCTTTGGTTTGTTTCTTGAAATAGCCCTGAGAAGGAAAATAGACAAACAGGGAACAAAAACACGCAAATGCACAAACAAATCAAACAAACAAGCAAACTGAAAAAAAAATAATAATAAAAAAAACCAAAGACAAAAAACAAAGGACAGTCTAAAAGCATAAAACCAGAAATCCCAGCTACAAATAAAGAGCAGGGTGGAGTCAGTGCTGATGGAAGAGTATATACAAAGAGAGAAGTGGCAGGGGTGGGGGGAAAGAGAAAATGAACATCGACAAGGCAGAGACTAAAAGGCTTAATCCAGAGAGAGAAAAAGGAGAATACAGTAGGAGGCGAGACAAAAGAAATGAAGATAATGTTACCCAGAGAAGCTATGTATTCTGTTTATTCCAGAGAGAGAGAGAGAGAAAGGACGGTAAAGAAGGAGATGTAGAAGATGCATCAGGAGGATGGATTAAATGTCTGTTTAAGCAAACCTATAACCAGAATAACCAGTCCAGAGGAAGGGAGAGATAAGAATGAGAAAAGGGAGAATATATATGAATAGGAAGAATTGCTCTAGAGTTAATCATGGCAATGCAGCAGTGCTGGTCTTGGGGGAGGGGCTGTCTGTTTCCCCAGCATCTATCAGCTCTGTAAAAACAGTAGTTACCTGGTACAGATAGGCGTGGTTTGGTGTAGGCCGGTCCTGTGTCCAGTATAGGCCCCGCTGATCAATCCCTGAGGCTATGCCTTGATGGTTGTGGGGAGAAAAATGGCGTCCCTCCAGGCCCTTCTCCTCGACCAGGTGTCCAAATCACTCTTTTGGATTCGTTCTCACTGTGCTGTGGGCGCAGACAAGGTGGGCTGTCTCCTATGTCCCATGCCCAGCCTCGTTCCAAGATGTCACACTCCCTGTGCACTAATGATGCTGCCCGAAATGTAATCCCACCGAGCTAGGCACTTCAGAGCAGGGGATCAGATCCTTCTGATGCCAACTGGGCTCCTTGAGTACCACCTAACCTGGAGGAAACTTCTTTTGTCCCCCAGCAAGAGGGATAGGATAGGATCTCTCTCTGTCCTGGGACGAGGTTTTTCTCTTGTCCAAGTACAGTCCTACACTTCCCCAGCTGCTCTTTCTCTTCCCTTTGTCTCTCCACAGAGGGGATCCCTCCCCTCCGCACCTCCATGTTCCTGCTGTTTTTATCTCCCCCAGTTTGCAATCACACATCTATGAGGCTGTCTTCCTAGTAGACTCCATCTCCTTTCATCCCAAACTCTTGAGGTTCAAAGTCTTTGGCTTTAGCCCTTCTTTGTTTGAGAGATGCCGGTGGGAAGTATGGCTCCCCCTATTTCTCTACCATCTTGGCCCCTTCTCCCAACTTTATTTTATTTTATTTTTATTAATGTTTTTTATTCATTTCTGAGAGAGAGAGAGAGAGACAGCGTGAGGAGGGGAGGGTCAGAGAGAGAGGGAGACACAGAATCTGAAACAGGCTCCAGGCTCCAAGCCAGCTGTCAGCACAGAGCCTGACACAGGGCTCGAACCCACGAACCGCAAGATCATGACCTGAGCCGAAGACAGATGCCTAGCCGACTGAGCCCCCCAGGCGCCCCTCCCAACTTTATTTTAAAATGTGAATACACTAGGGGCACCTGGGTGGCTCAGTTAGTTAAGCCTCCAACTTCGGCTCAAGTCATGATCTCACAGTTCATAAATTAGAGCCCCACATCAGGCCTGTGCTGACAGCTTAGTGCCTGGAGCCTGCTTCAGAGTCTGAGTCTCCCTCTCTCTCTGCCTCTCCCCAGCTTGTTCTCTGTCTCTCTCTCAAAACATATATAAAAAAACAATTTAAAAAAATTAAAAACAAGAAAATAATAAAATAAATTTTGAATACTCTAAGAAAACTAAAGAATCATTTTAAATGTATAAGTATAATAATGGTTATAATAATATTTGTAAATTAAATATATTTAGTGCTTCTATAAAAGTAAGAAGGCTGCTTATATATACACAAGTGAAAATGTATTCACATGATATTGATATTTCAACTAGACAAGATTTGCTTATACCATTAAAAAATGATATAACATATTGTTGGATAAATAACATATATTGTAAATTCAAAAGTTCTACCACAGATCTGGTTCTCTATTTAGGGCTTTTATGATTTTCTTCCTGAAGCCCAGAAAATGGTTGAGGTATCAGATGAAAATCTTTTGCCTGACATTTAAAACCGTTAGGAAGAAAAGACTCAGTAGTGAATATGGTAATAATGATTATTAAATTATTTAAAATTTCAGTTGATTTAAGCAGAATTTTGTTTAAGAATGTACACTCTGCTATAAGCTTACATTTATTAAGTCAGATTTTTATTGTGTTATTTACATTTCCTATTCCTTGATTTTCTTGAATTTTGTTTGTCCTGGCAATTATGGGGAAATGCATATTGAATTTTCTCATTATGATTGTGGACTTATGTATTTATTCCTATAGTACTATTTTCATTACACTGCCCACTTTCCTTATACTGTCTGTTGTTAGGTGCATAAAAATACAAATGTTAGATAATTACTTTGAACTCAGTGATTTCTTTTGATGACAGGTGCCATCTTACTCTGCCTCCAGTAAGGTCTTTTAACCAAAATCCTATTTTGTCTAACATCGACATAACTTTTTCATATTTATTTTGGTTATATTTACATGACATATCTTTTTTCACTTAGTTTCCAATTTTCTGTACTCTTATTATTTAGTAGTGTCACTTATAAATAACCTGTAGTTAAATTATGTATAAATCTGGTATGACTGACTCTCTTTGTCCATCCCTATAACATATAATCCATTATAGTTTTTGTTCTTATTGATACATTTGGATTTAATTATTTCTATTTTGGAGTGCTCTGTATTTTTCATACCTGATCTAGATTTCTTTCTATTTGATTTCCTTTATTTGGATTTACTACTTTCTAAACAGTCTAACTTTTACATCAATCCTATATGTTTTAAAATTTTTAAGTATTTAAAAATGTGAATGCCCTTAGTATAATAAAGTCTAATTATAACTTTCTAAGTGTATATATGAAGTAATAAAAGTACCTTCACATATTTTTAGGAAAGCACTGTGATGATTTTTACATTTAATTTTATAGTCTGTTTTGAAAATTCACCAGACTTTTGTTTTGTTTTTGTGTGTGGGGCGAGTGTTTGATCATTTGTTTAAATTGTATTTATTTGCTTAAATTTTATAAAACTGGAAAGAAATTGTAAGTGGTTCTTTATTTATAATAAAGAGACTTAACTTTTATATCTTATTGAATTAAGAGTCTATTTTTGTAGCTGAGAAAATGGATGAAAAAGCTGGTAAAAATCTTTCACCTGAAGATAATGAAGTTTTAATCTCAAAAGGCTCATCTCAAATTAAGACACTTGGAGCTACCAGAAAACTGGAACATACTGGTTAAGTATAAATATTAAAAATTTTATATAAAAATATTTAGTTATATTTTTCTTTCATTCATGAATATATATTCAATCATATATATTCATGCTATATACTGTATCATATATTCATATATATAAAACATATGTAATGTGTGTGCATGTATGTTATCCATTTGGATAAGTTGATTAATTATGTTATTCAGGCTTTCTTAATTTCATCAAAGTTCTATGCTTATTATTTGTGAGGAAAGTATATTGAATTCAACTACTGTGATTGTTTATTTCTCTATTACACTTTGTAGTTCTGCCAATTTTTGTTTCATTTTTCTAAAACTTTTTACTGTATGCAATAAATATAAGTTATATACAGATACATATATAATAAATACACAGATTTTAAAATGTTTTGTGTTCCTAGTGAACTAAAATTTCTGTCATTATGATGACATTTTATAGTAACTTTTTGTGTACTTTTAGTCCGTTTTATCTGATGGTATCTTAATGTAATTATTTGCATAGAATAATTTTTTCATCATTTTACTGTCTTTTCATATTGCTGTAAATTAGTTGTGTGAGTTTAAAATAAAGGGCATTGTGGTTCATTATTTTTTAATCCAGTGTAACAGTTTTTGTTTTAAATGGAACATTTAATACATTTACCTTTAATGGAAGTACTGATATTTTGTCTTTCTTATCTGATGTGTTTCTGTATTCTTTTAAATTTATTTTGAATGTATTTAGCATTTCTTTCTTCCGTCACAAGTTATCTATTACAAAAATATTTATTTTAATCCTAAATTGTGAATACCTTATAAAACTATTCTCTTGAAAAGTACTCCCACTATTTCTATATTTCACATAGTCACTCTGTAAATCACTGTCTCAACAATGTATATACATCACTATTTTTAAAATGTGGTATTTGATGATGTTTCAAAACATGAAAGGAAAGAATCCTCAGTAATTGGAATGTATTTAAATTACAAAGGCCTTTCAGGGAGTACAATTGTCTATTTAATGGGTTAAAAGCATCTTTCTTTATAGCTCAGAAAGTAGATGTGTTAGATGGAAATCTTTTACCCAAGCATAAAGTTCATTCTCAATAACCCAGTCTCAAACTAAGAAACTTAGACCTGTAAAAATGAAAACACTAAGTAGTAAGTATGAAAATTTTCAATGTCATTGATTTATTTTTAATTAAAGGAAGCAGCAAAACTGTCCTTATAATCAATCATGTATTTTTTTTTACAAATTGCTTATGTTTCTCTCATTTTCCAATTTTTAAAAATATAATTTATTATTATTTGTCTTACATACAACACCCAGTGCTCATCCCAACAAGGGCCTTCCTCACTGTCCATCACCCACTTTTCCCTCTCTCCCGCTCCCCATCAACCCTCGGTTTGTTCTTTGTATTTAAGAGTCTCTTATGATTTGCCTCCCTCTGTCTCTATAACTATTTTTCCCCATTCCCTTCCCCTATCGTCTTCTACTAAGTTTCTCAAGATCCACATATGAATGAAAACATATGATAGCATTCTTTCTCTGACTGACTTATTTCATTCAGTATAATACCCTCTAGTTCCATCCACTTTGCTGCAAATGGCATGATTCTATTCTTTCTCATTGTCATGTAGTATTCCATTGTATAGATAAACCACATCTTCTTGATCCATTCATCAGTTGATGGACATTTAGGCTCTTTCCATAATTTGGCTATTGTGGAAAGCACTGCTATAAACCTTGGGGTACATTGTACCCCTATGTATTGGCACTCCTATATTCCTTAGGTATATTCCTAGCAGTGCTATCGCTGGGTCATAGGATAGTTCTATTTTTAATATTATGAGGAACCTCCATAGTGTTTTCCAGAGCAACTGCACCAATTTGCATTCCCACCAATAGTGCAAGAGGGTTTCATTTCTCCACATCCTCGCCAGCATCTGTAGTTTCCTGAGTTGTTCATTTTAGCCACTCTGACTGGTGTGAGGTGGCATCTCAGTGTGGCTTTGATTTATATTTCCCTGAGCATGAGTGGCATTGAGCATATTTTCATGTTTCTGTTGGCCATTTGGGTGTCCTCTTTGGAAAAGGGTCTATTCATGTCTTCCGCCCATTTCGACACTAGATTATTTTTTTTTGGGGGGGGTGTGGAGTTTGGTGAGTTCCTTTTTTTTTTTCCCTTAAATAGTTTATTGTGAAATTGGTTTCCATATAACACCCAGTGCTCATCCCAAAAAGTGCCCTCCTCCATGCCCATCACCACCCTTCCCCCTCCGCCACCTGCACCAGCCCTCAGTTTGTTCTCAGCATTCAAGAGTCTCCCATAGTTTGCCTCCCTCCCTCTCCCAAACTGTTTTTCCCCTTCTTCTCCCCCCTAGTCCTCCATTAAGTTCCTCCTAATCCACCTATACGTGAAAACATATGGGATCTGTCCTTCTCTGCCTGACTTATTTTGCTCAGTATAACACCCTCAAGTTCCATCCATGTTGCTACACATGGCCAGATTTCATTCTTTCTCATTGCCATGTAGTATTCCATCGTACAGATAAACCACATCTTCTTGATCCATTCGTCCATTGATGGACACGTAGGCTCTTTCCATGTTTTGGCTATTGTTGAGAGTGTTGCTATGAACACTGGGGTGCATGTACCCCTGTGCATCAGCACTCTTATATCCCTTGGGTAAATTCCTAGCAGTGCTATTGCTGAGTCATAGGGGAGTTCTACTGTTAATTTTTTGAGGAACCTCCACACTGTTTTCCAGAGGGGCTGCACCAGTTTACATTCCCACCAACCATGTAGGAGGGTGCCAGTGTCTCCACTTCCTCGCCAGCATCTAGAGTCTGCTGATTTGTTCATTTTAGCCACTCTGACCGGCATGAGGTGGTATCTGGGTGTGGTTTTGATTTGTATTTCCCTGATGAGGAGGGATGCTGAGCATCGTTTCATGTGTCTGTTGGCCATCTGGATGTCCTCTTTGGAGAAGTGTCTGTTCATATCTTCTGCCCATCAAGTCTGTTTCTAATCTCATTTATTGTCTTCATCTCTGATTTCATTTTAACTCTTCAATTGCTGTGGTAAGGTTCTCACTGATGTCTTCTATTCTTTTCTTAGGCCCGGTGAGTATCCTTATGATTGCTGTTTTACATTCTCCATCAGGCATGTTACTTATATCTGTTTCACTTAGATCTCAGGCCGTGGCTTTATCTTTTTCTTTTAGTTGGGATAAATTCATCCATCTTTGCATTGTCTAGGCCTCTGCTTTCTTCTGTGTGTTAGAAAAGCCAGTCATGTCTCCTGATTCTGGAAGTAATGGCCTTATGAAGAAGAGGTCATGTAGTGCCCAGGGCCTGACACTTCAGGGGGTATCTCTGAAGCATGTGCTCTGCTGTTGTGTTCTGGCTGCTCTATCCTTCAGGCCAGTTGTCTGCAGAGGCTCTCCTTGCTTCCTGTGGCCAGTGTTTTGTCCCTGGCCTGAGTGTGGCGGATTAAGTAATCACCACATTGATATTTCATTTTCAGTTATTTTATAGTGTTCATTCTGTGCTTAGATATGAAGGTATGGAGATGACAATATGGTCACTTTCTTCAAGTTACCCTTATACATTTCAGAAAAAATAATATGTGAGACACACACTTATATCTATATCTATATCATCTATATCTATATCATATATATATGAACATAGAGAAAATGATAGAACAAAAATACAGAATATAAACAATTGATAAATCTTGGTATAGACTATATGAGAATTCCTTAAATTTCTCTGTAAATTTGAATTGAGAGAAAAATTAAAAACAATTAAATCCTATTATGCNTTTCATCATACAGATCTCTTATATCTTTGGTTAGGTTTATTCCTAGGTATTTTATGGTTTTTTGTGCAATTGTGAATGGGATCAGTTTCTTGATTTCTTTCTGTTGCTTCATTGTTGGTGTATAAAAATGCAACCGATTTCTGTACGTTGATTTTGTATCCTGCAACTTTGCTGAATTCATGGAATAGTTTTAGTAGGCTTCTGGTGGAGTCTGTCAGGTTTTCTATGTAGACTATCATGTCGTCTGCAAACAGTGAAAGTTTGCTTTCTTCTTTGCCCATTCTGACGCCTTTTATTTCCTTTTGTTTTCTGATTGCTGATGCTAGGACTTCCAGAACTCTGCAGTGATGAGAGTGGACATCCCTATCATGTTCCTGATCTCAGGGAGGAAGCTCTCAGTTTTTCCCCATTGAGGATGATGTTAGCTGAGGGCTTCTATTGACAGAATTACATGATTTTTATCCTTTCTTTTGTTGATGTGATGTATTACATTGGTTGATTTGCGAATATTCAACCAGCCCTGCAACCCAGGAATGAATCCCACTTGAGAGTTGTGGATAATTCTTTTTATGTGCTGTTGAATTCAATTTTCAAGTATCTTGTTGAGGATTTTTGCATCTGTATTCATCAGTGATATTGGCCTATAGTTCTCTTTTTTTGCTGGATCTCTGGCTTCGGAATCAAAGTGATGCTGGCTTTATAAAATAATTTTGAAGTTTTCCTTTGGTTTCTATTTTTTGAAATAGCTTGGGAAGAATGGGTATTAATTCTGTTTTAAATGTCTGCTGGGATTCCCCAGGGAAGCCATCTGGCCCAGGGCTCTATTTGTTGGGAGATTTTTGATAACTGATTTAATTTCCTCACTAGTTATAGGTCTATTCAGATTTTCTATCTCTTGTCATGTGAATTTTGGTAGGAAGTCTGTGTTTAGGAATTTGTCCATTTCTTCTAAGTTGTTCAGTTTGTTGGCATATATGTTTTCATATATTCTCTGATAATTGCTTGTATTTCTGAGGCGTTGGTTGCAATAAGTCCATTTTCATTCATGATTTTGTCTATTTGGGGGTTCTCTCTTTTCTTTTTGAGAAGCCTGGCTAGAGGTTGTCAATTTTGTTTATTTTTTCAAAAAACCAACTCTTGGTTTCATTAATCTGTTCATTTATCAGTTTTAATAGATTTTGGTGGAATCT